CCGGTGCGCGTTGCCGCTGCACGAAGCGGCGATGGGCGTCATCCGGTGGCTCGTACGCGTCCGCCATTTCGTCGAACACTCCACGCAATGTTTTCTTCTTCGCAGCTTTTATAGAGCGAAAAAAACGAACAGACTCATCGTCAAGGAGAGTCGGAAGCACCTCCAGCGCCTCGGCGTCCGTCCACCTTGCCGTTCGTACCGCCGCCAAAAATCGACAAGCGAACGCACTCCAATCGCCCCCGATGGAGAACTCCTTAACAGTTGTAAGGTGACGACTGCGGCTCCTTGGCCTGCTTCCGTCCGTCACCGACTCTTCCGGCGGCAAGTTCAGCAAGGCGTCGCAACGCGGTGTCGCCAAGATGGCGGACGATCCTCGTGGCGGCCCCAAAATGGCGGCTTCCCGCCTTCCGTGGTGCGCCACGCCCAAGATGGCGTCTTCACGCCGCGTGGCCGATGGCGGCGCCATCGAAGACGACCCGGGCTCCTGCCGATCACCACCATCACCTTCCAACGCCGCCCTTGGCGTGACAAGGTCACACAACTCCGTGATGACGGTTTTTAGGGTCGCCAGTTGCTCCGCCATCCGGGTCCATCTTAAATCTTCGTCCTTCAACGCAGATGGGTCGGACGCAGCGGCAACCTCCTCCACACCCGGGCCCTCACGGATCTCTCCCTCCGCCGAAGTGAAGCCGACCTCAGGAGGAAGATCGTCGTCGTCCGATGATGAAGCCGACGCCGGAGATGGGATATTCTTCTTCCTCAGTTGTTTCGCCATGCCGTTTCACTTCTGACTCCAGTGTAATAAAAGGACTCGAACACTTCTCTCTGTCTTCGTGTCTTTATTCAGGTTCACGTCTTTACCCACACGGCACTCTGTTATAACTCCTGTATTTGTAGCCCCCGGCTATTCACTGCTATTATAGCTTCCTCTCCCCTCTGACTCTCTGCTTCATCTACTGTAACCTCCTCCCTGCAGACTCGCTGCTACCCCTATGCAGACTCCCGCTGCTACCCCTATGTGCAGACCCTCTGGCTGTCACTGTATGCAGACCCGCTGCCCACCCTCTCTGTGCAGCCCCGCTGCTGACTGCAGCCTCCTCGCTGCTTCGGGTCGGTCACCGCTGGCCAACGGTGCCGATCCTCGCTCCCCCCGTGTTCGTGGCGATCTCGCCACACCCCGCTTCGCCCTTCGTGGCCTTCCTCTGTTCCTGGTTCCCCGTCACTCCCCCTGCTCTTCCGGTTCCCCTCCTTCTATACTCAACCCCTCTCCCCCCACGTGACCTAACTCCTCCCCCCCTGACGGCACCTCAGAAGGGCCGTTTACAACCGCATTACACTTGTTCAAGTTACACGCGGTTCGTAGAGGCCAGCAAGTGTCAACAGCAAGGTCTGATGATAGACACGAGGACGAGTCTGCAGTTTCAAGGCCAGGTGTAGTGAAACTTTGATCGTCATTCACAGAAGACTTGGCGATGCGTTTATCGATTCCCCACGGAGTACCAATCAATGCGCCCCCCCCCCTCTTGACAGCTGACTGGATATTATGAAAAGCGACGGCTCTGTATCTTCCAGGGGAGAGTGTTACAGGGAGTGAGCAGGCACGCAAGGGGTGCAGCAGCACACGCCTCGTGCCCGCTGTATTCAAGCCCCCCCCCCCCGTGTTCCTATTCTCATGGTTGGACCGAACATGTAGAAATAAAAACCATGAACTATGTTTTTTATCTTAACAGGTAAGGCCCACTGAGCTATAACACTAGATTCGAAGCTTTCGTGACTGCAGGAATTACTTTTTGGTTCTTTCGGTAAAGTCACGTAGAAAATAAAATAATAATACTAGAATACGACGTTTCGGTTACAACACAAGCAACCATCATCAGGTAAGAATGAATGGTAAAACACAGACACGGCAACAACACAGGCAGACACACATGCCGTGTCTGTTTTATCTTGGTGTGTCTCGCTCGGTGTGTCTTTGTGTGTCTCTCTGCAATCGTCTGCCTGTGTTGTTTCCGTGTCCGTGTTTCATTATTCATTCTTACCTGATGATGGTTGCTTGTGTTGCAACCGACACGTCGTATTTTATTATTTGATTAGATTTTCTCCGTGAATTTACCGAAAGAACCAAAGAGTTTTGCCCACTGAGCTCCAGAGCTCTTTTTCGTTCAGGGACCTGGCCACAAATGATAGCTCAACGAAGTGGCTTATCATTGTGGACATTTACAGCAGTCAAATAGTCTCAATGCGTGTCGATTCTAAATGTGGAGGGAAAATCGGAGAATCTGGAGAAGCATCCACACGACCACGGGAAGAACATGAAAACTCCAAAAATACACGCGTCAAGGTCGGGATAGAACCCACGATGTTCTGTATACCAGGTGAGGTAGTTAACACATCCTAGCCACCGTGGCACCCCATCTGATGTCTGGTCACGCTGATGAAATGAAATAATCGGCTGTGCGAGGTCATGGTATCAGTCCGGTCACCAAAGTAACACCGGAGTAAAATTTGATTCAGATTTTTTTTCTTATATATTAATATTTCCAGCCGTGAGAAAATTGTGAGAACTGGACAGTTGGGAAAGTGCTGCCCCCTACCGTGTGGATCTGAGGTCGCTTGAGGTAGTTCTGTGATAATCACTTCCGTGGGCCGTTCTCTGCGATGCTAAGGTTGCGCAGCTGCTCTGCGGGAGATCGGAATGCCTCGTCTCATCACGCCAATTGCCCGACTGTGATCTAATTGTGATCTAATTGTGGGGAAATAAACGTGGTTTTAATTGATCAAATTATTCGGCGGCGCTGCTGCTGCTGCGTTGGCAGTGGAGAAAAATCAACAGAACAAGTCCCGTGTCAATAACAACCATGCGGCCTGAACAGCAAGAAAAACAAAACACAATGGCCGACGTTTCAGGCAGTGGCCCTTCTTCAAGTGCCGTTATTGACGAGTGGGTGCGTTCTCCTACGCGAATGCTTCATCGACGTCGGAGTCGCACTGTCTTGCAGCGTGTGGGAGAGAGGCCCAACGTCGTCTCCAGCCCCACCGGTGACCCCGCACAGGAGCCTGGGTGGGCGCAGCTCCCCCAGTGGCGTGTTACCATTCACTCTCTTTATTATCGGGTCACAATCGTGCGTGGTTAAACCCTGCTCCACCGACACGGCCACTTGATGAAGTTGTCACACGATGAGCAACAACACGTGGCCAATGTAATACTGCTTCAGCACTCCACTGGGGGCGTTGGAGTGCAGCTGACCGCTGTATTGTGGGGTAACAGCACACCGCTGTGTGATGTAGGATAGCAGCTCACCGCTGTGTGATGTAGGGTAGCAGCTCACCGCTGTGTGGTGTAGGGTAGCAGCACACCGCTGTGTGATGTAGAGTAGCAGCTCACCGCTGTGTGATGTAGAGTAGCAGCTCACCGCTGTGTGTTGTAGGGTAGCAGCTCACCGCTGTGTTGTAGGGTAGCAGCTCACTGCTGTGTGATGTAGGGTAGCAGCTCACCGCTGTGTGTTGTAGGGTAGCAGCTCACCGCTGTGTGATGTAGGGTAGCAGCTCACCGCTGTGTGATGTAGGGTAGCAGCTCACCGCTGTGTGATGTAGGGTAGCAGCTCACCGCTGTGTGATGTAGAGTAGCAGCTCACCACTGTGTGTTGTAGGGTAGCAGCTCACCGCTGTGTGATGTAGGGTAGCAGCTCACCGCTGTGTGTTGTAGGGTGACAGCTCACCGCTGTGTGATGTAGGGTAGCAGCTCACCGCTGTGTGATGTAGGGTAGCAGCTCACCGCTGTGTGTTGTAGGGTGACAGCTCACCGCTGTGTGTTGTAGGGTAGCAGCTCACCGCTGTGTGATGTAGGGTAGCAGCTCACCGCTGTGTTGTAGGGTAACAGCTCACCGCTGTGTGATGTAGGGTAGCAGCTCACCGCTGTGTTGTAGGGTAACAGCTCACTGCTGTGTGATGTAGGAGTGTGGCCCACACAATGTGGGGTAGTGTTCAGGAGCAGCATTTTGGACGTGGCAGTTTCTCGTCCGACTGTTCGGGATTAACGAGGATCACCTCCTCGGCTATCAAAGTGTCGTGCCCGTGATTACGACCGCCACAGTACGATGTCGTGCGTGGATTTTAAAATACAAAAGTGTTTAACTATTTTAAAAGATCATGGGACCTTTTTTTCCAGTATCAAAGTATGAAAAATAAGAATAGGATTTACCCTTTATGGCAATAAAACAGCAGGTGTTAAGATGTTCAAACACCAAATAGATAAATGTTGCAAGGAATCAAGTCTGCATTAACCACGCACAGTAACTGCTGTGAACATGCAAACAAAACATGCTCCGATAATGATATATCCATTGTCTTTGAAACTGGTTGGCCTCCACCAGAGACGCCCTTCTTCATGGCCTGGCCTCACACCTCGTTCTGTACAAGACGCAGAGAGGGCAAGGAGGCGTCCATCCCACGTCGCGCTTTAATCCCAACGTGGCCTCAGTGGCGCTTACCACAGAGCCCACAGTGACACCATCGATCAGAGCGGAAAATTGGTTCCAACAAGGGAAGCATCACATTTTGAGCAGCACCCACGTGATTTACACGGCTAATACCAGTTCATTACAATCGCCCACTCATTTCAAAAATGTATCCCATCATTCACTCTCAGTGGCCACATTTAAGTTTTAGAGTTGTACACCCCTAGCTGCCACTGCAGTTCAGTGGCCTAAAATACAATGTTCGCTCCGGATGATCGCTGCAAAGTATGATCTGTGTTTTGATTTAGTGTGCTGATCTTAAAGGTGTGTAAAGTAGAGCCGATACAAGATTACAGGGGGTTTGTCTTTTAATCCTTTTCTCTCATCCACACCTGTCCCCAGCCGTCCCAATCTCGTTCCCGCCAAAGGCCCCTTATATCTCCTCGATTACTCCTCCCACGAACCCTCCTATTGGTGGGAATCCTTCCCCTGACACCCCTACATCTACATTGAAAAATGTTGATACTCCGACTGATGTTCCTGATGTTGTGGAGTGACTCATGCAGCCAGCTATGGATGCAGAGTTTGGGTGTACATGTTGTTTTCGTCGTTTATTGTGAAAATTCGGTCAGTTCCTATGATCACTTTCATTGCTTTTATGGCTTTATTTTGGTGATTTTCGAAAAGTTTTTTGGTTTGGCAATGTTTGTTTGTTGTAGTACAGAGTTAGACTGATGGCCTTAATCTATGTTGTCTTGTGGTTGTTGTTGTTTGACTTGCCATCCCACTGGGATTTTTGCACACAGCGTTGGTGTACGGTGCTTTTTCTGCAATATTTTACTGTCTTTTCTTGGATTTTCTGTTTGCACTTAGTCACCTTGTCACTTTAAGATGTTTTCTTGTTCATGTTTTTGTTTTTTGTTTGTTGCGGTTGCACCCGATTCAAGAGCCGAATGGCTCACAGGACTATACCTAATAAATTAACTTGAATTTGAACTAAGTGAAATTAAACAATGCAGTTACGCCGCCTCGGGTGGTAACCAGAATATAGACGTCTGGTCTGGACTCGCCAACGATCAGTAATGAAACAAGCTGGGCCCTAGAGACGCTTTTAAAACAAGTTTTACGAAACTAAGCAAGCAGATTCACGTTCAGGATTCCCTGCTCTGAAAGACGCGTCAGCGTGCACATGAGGGCACATCTACACACTTATTAACTACGCTCGTACCGCGTAACGCATTGATTCATTGTAACGGCGACTCGGGCTTCATTTCACCCGGTAAGGCCCCAAATAAGCCATGCAGCTCGTGCACGAGGACGGCTACAACCCACGACCGTCGGCAGTGGAGACCGTGACAGGACATCGAAGGGTGGCAATGCCCTTGGCACCGCAGTGCAAAATTATACAATTAGATTGTTCAATCTTGATTTGAAGCTTTCGGGACTGCAGGAATCCATACTCTTTGGTTCCTTCGGTAAAGTCACGTAGGTAGAAATAAAAAAACATATTTCTAACTACGTGACTTTACCGAAAGAACCAAAGAGTATGAATTAGATTGTTGTTTTATTGAATGGCTCTCCAGTTTGAATGTTGCTAAGGTGACAGCATCCCCAGTCCCATCCCGACGCCGCGTCGCTTGAGCCGAGCGAGGGGTGGTGGTACGGACCACGTGGGATGAATGCGGGCCACGTGGGATGCGGCACCAGCAGGGCCTTCACGGCCTGCAGGAACACCTCCAGTCGGGTAACGCGACGGTTACTCCCGCCAACTGCTGGCGGCGGGACCTCCGCTTAAGGAACGTCTGAGAGACCCCCCAGAGTGGGAGAGGGGGTCTCGAGAGCCTTCCCAGGCGTCTTGATGAGAGCTACCCACACTCTACCCCCCCACCACACGCGCGACCAGCAGCTTGACTGTGGCGAAGCCGTTCAGAATATTCTTAGGTTTTTTCGGTAAAGTCACGTAGGTAAAAAATTAAAATTAATAAAAATGTTGGGTTGCACGGAGGCACGGGGGGCAGGGGACGGTGGGGGGGGGTAACACTCACTCCGTTGTCTGCACGGCCGCTCCCTCACTCATCAGTCGTCTGTTTTGCGATCAGTTGAAACTTTACGTGGCCGCGATTCACGCATTTGTCGCGGGAGCACCCTGGAATAGGGTCACACGAGACTCATTCAGAATCCCTTCACATTCACTGCATCTTCATTGCGTTTATTCAGAACGATATAAAGGTTTGCATTTCCATCCTGGTTTGGGAGTCGGATACATAATTCTCATAGTCACAGTTCACTATTTAATTGATGTGACAATGTTATCAGCATTGATTTGATCAAAGATTGAGTTTGGAACTAAATATATGCGTGTGCGGTGGTGGACATGGGCTGGACACGGGCTGGACTCGGGACCTCTGGTGTGCCCCGTGTCGCAAACACTTTGTACCCTTGACGTGGAGCGGCAGACACGTGGTGAGGGAGATGCCGTGCCTGTTTCCCTTACTCCCTGAGTCCACGCCACGATCTGCCTCTGGGCGCTCCCCAGCGGCACAGCAATCCCCTGCTACGTTGATGAATCCAGTAGCCACGTGCCGGCCACTTCACGGCGGACGTTAAACATCTCCGTGGCGTCATTCGCAAGAGGAGGCCATCGCGCGCCTCCGAAATTTTGCCAAATTCGAAAATGACCCCCGCAGGTCACTACACCGGGACTCAGACACCCACAGTGGCAACCATCGCCCCTACCGGCGGCAGGCCATCGCCCCGGGTCAGACTTGCGAACGAGACTCGTCCCGGTCTCTCGAGGCGATGCTCGCATCGGATAAACAACATGCGTTTGAACTTTTCCGTGGCCAATCAAATTTTCCCTGCAAAGGTAGAACCGATACAATTAGCATCTTGAGATGCAGCTATATTTTGACGCTAGATAAATACTAATGCATTGTATAACTTACTAGTTACAGATGTACATTCCACCTCGCAATGTACAGGGCGATCCATTCATAGCTACCCCACTAAAAATATGGAGAAATTAGAGAACACAACATTTCACTTCTAATACTTCACATATCTTGCACCAATTTTAAGACAACTCGTTAAATCTCTTAACACTCTCCTCTGTGAGATACGGTGTCTTCGCTCTCAGAATATTCAATTGGCTGTTGAGAAGAGGGCCATTGAAAATCAATGAGGTATATATAAATGGATCACCATGTGTTACTGCTTGGCTAGTGTATATTTCAGTTTTCCCTGCATTTAAAATTCACCCCTTTTTAGTGACTTCGCAACTGAAGATCGAGCACCACCACGAACACGGCTGCGGAAACCGATGCCCTGCATCGTGGCAGCTTACAGGAAGATGTGACCCGACACGGACTCAAACCATACAAACAAAAAACCCGACATTGTAAAGCAGACTCGTGTACTCGCTGACAAACATCCCGAGACCCAAGTACAAATGCTCGGAGCAGGCGGTGCAACTGCACAGGAGAGTGGATTCGGACGGGGCGGGTGCTCATTTAGTTCCTTGTGTGAGAACCCATGCCAGCCGCACTGCGCCACTGCCTCAGATGCTCAGTGTGTTCGCTCGCACCACTGTTGGCGGAAACGCCTCCGCCGGAGGAAGAACTTGGCAGACTCTCCAGAGGGCAGCTTGGCCTAGTCTGCCACGCCGACCGGTGCGGAGTAAAGTGTGCAGTACCCACACTTTACCCAACCGCACGCAACCCGCCAATCAATGTTTCTAGTCGGTGAGGGCCCTGATGCATAATTTCAGTTCGTGTTATCATCTTGTGCTCTTGCTCAGATTTTAGAACGACAACACGCATTTTTCCTTTCCAAACTCTGCATTCGTCATCATCTCCACAACCGCGACACCGGTAGTGAAATCTTTCCCACCACGTAGGAAGGAAGGAGTGCGTCACTACAATTAGCGTGGCGAGTAACTTCGCATGCACGCACGGCCACACGGCCGCAAGGCCCCTGGCAGAATACCAAGGCATGTCGCGGTTCGCGGATGGAGCCGGGAGTTAAAGCACCTCCCCAGGACGGCTCTGAAACGAGCTTCCACAGCACTGCGGACCAGGCACGCTGCCCGGCACGAGTTGGGGCCTAACCGTCAGTTGCCGAAGGAGCTCTCGGCACGTGGAGCGAAGGTCGCAGACACATCGGAGAACCGTGCGCGTTGAATACGGTGACGTCCGTGGTGCCCGACTTTAGTGAACAAGAACCACATCTCGGGGCTGGAAGGCATCAACAAAGGACGTAGAGGCTCGTGTCCTGTGTAACCGTACGCGGTCTAAGTGCACATACGCGGCGTGACAAACACCACCAACAAAATGGGAATAAAATAAGACTGTGGTTTGTCAGTAAGATGAAGGCATGAGCTGAAATAAAGTATTATTACCGTGGTATTTTTTTTTTCATTTTGCAGCAAACATTAATGTTTCTAGAGCAACGAGATGTTACAATAAGTGTGGCAGAAGGTCTTCAGAAATAGCGCAGACTCAAACCTATCAACCATCACAGCTACTACCACCATTACCACCACGCCTACGATTGCCTCCCGGTGCCCAGTAGGGATCTGCGAAGTCTCTTGGTCCTGGCGCACCGAGCGACGTGCACGCCGACATGGGAACCAACTTGTTTGCCATGCGTGGGTTTCGCTCTTTCAAACGCCAGTTTCGACTCCTGACACAAAAGTGATTTAGTGAATTATTACATCGCAGATGTTCTCACCAGTGGGCAGTGGAGGTAACTGAACCTTAACATATATGTAGATGGGCTCGTCAAGTCAGCGTGATGATGGTAAGGACTACACAGCCCACTTTGTCTAACACGAGGTCCGGTCAAAGAGCTCATGGAATTATGATGTATCATTTATTTATGCTTGTGTACCCAGGAGAGCCTCAGTAAGTCTCAGGTCTCTTTTCCAGGAGGGTCCCTGCCAGGTTTTCACAGTAGGGGGCGATGCTGCTGCTGTGTGATCCCTGATGAGTAATTTGCAGGACATTTTGCCACATTTGGATGTTTGGACCAACAGCGGTTACAATGAATGTTGGGTGCTATAGCCATGGGAGGAAACCCATGCAGAAGAGGGAAGGACATACACACTCCAACGCAGGTAGGAGCCCGAGTCGGCAATCAAACCCAGGCTCTTGTTGCTGCGCTTTGTGTTAAAACTGTGTTAAAATTAACCCCACAGCCAATTGTTACATAATTTCCCCCAGGTATTATCCAAAGAGTCGCGCGGCGCATCCTGAGATAAAGAATCCACTCGGACCTCTCAAGGAGCAGCGCGACCTCTTTTGTGAGAGAATGGCCCACGGAAGCGGATGTCACAGAACTACCACGGAGCTTCCTTCGAGCGACCTCTGGTCCATATGCGTATGAGAATGGCGTCCCCCCCGTCGCAAGACAAACTGATAATTTAATTCTCAGAGCTGGAATCCGGCCCAATTAGAGCGTAGGACGAAGTGTAATGTGGCCAGGCTTTTTGTGTGGTCGCTGGTGAGCGGGCTGCCACCATCATCAACTCACTGTGCTTGAGATCCCAGTTGAGCTAACCGGCATTCCCAACGCTAAAATTAGCGGACGTAATAAACCGATCGGGTGGCCTTATTGACCTGACCTCGTATCTATGTGCAAGTCGATGATATTTAGGGTGTATTAAAAGCACTCGACACATTATTTAAATTGATATCGCTGCATAAACATGGGGGAATTAAAATTCTTGGAGGTGCGCGATTTCCAAACCTCTCAACCCAACGCGCGCGCTCGTTGCCGCGAGCATGCTCCGTGCCCGAAATTGTCACGCTCTAAAATATTCCCAGGCCCCCGAACGTTTCACCCTCCCGACGGTACGACGCATGTTGACAATTTGCCGTCACGATTCGTGAGACAGAAAAAAATACTCGATATTTGTTTTCGCCTTGTTTGTATTGTCCGTCTCGTAGGCTTTGTCTTGTTCGTACGCTAGTAAGTCATCACCAACACACCACCGTTAGCCAGGCTCAATCCATAGCTGGATGAAGGTCCGTCCCCACCACCCAAAAGTCTCCGCCAAATCTTACGGTTCCGCGAATAAACAGCCCACCGAGCACCCCGCGACGCGAGTGGACTTCGTCGCTACATCTCCCCCCCCCCCCCCCCTTCAGACATGCGCGTCCCTTCACAATGAAGCATACATTCGTAAAATTATTTGAGCAAAATTTGCATACGTCGTAAATGATCCTCAAGGACGCAACGATCGGACGCGGCGTTGCACACGCCAACCGGTGACGCCCAGACGCTGGAGAGCGCAACAATGGCGGTGGCGACGGTGGCGGCAGTGATAAATAACGAAGCGAGGGAGTCGCGATTGAGCCGCCGAGCGGGTTAGTTACTGCGACGCTGTGGCCTGCCCGCCAGTGCCCGGGCAATGGTTTGCCCGACAGGAACACAAAGTCTCTTGTATTGCCCAAACACAGAGCTCGGGACGTTCGCGACGCACTTGGCACGGCTGTCAAGGTCACACATGCTCCCCCCCCCCGTCAGGTTTACTGCAGTTTTCAAGTAGAATACAAACCGCCCCCCCCCCCATGTCTTTCATATATTAATATAAACAATATTTAGGTTTTTTTTTACAGTAAAAAAACAAATTACGTGCACTAAACTATACAGTTGCTTAAAATATATAACAGAAACAACGCGCCCCACATTCAATTAACACCTTATTTCTTTTGTCTATTAAATCAAGCAGCTGACATTTCAATTATTTTCATTAAAAGTATTTGTAAAAATTCCAATTTTTAAAAAAGAAAAGTGAACTCAGAAAGGCTTAGCGTCAGTGTAGAACACTGCACCGATATTCAAAAACACAACTCAAGCCACAATAGAAATAAAAATGAAATATATCACGTCATAAAACGGGCTCAAAAAGACATTGGTATCATTTCAGAAAAAAACGTAGTGTCAGAAAAAGTGTGCACGGATATGCATTGTAAACCGAACATTTGTTTTTTTTACAAATCAACAAACGCAACACCGGCGTGGGCGAACTTCCCTTGAACGCTGTCGAGCCGACGCCTTGCGCACGATGTGGACGTTAGTCAGCGCGCGCGTTTAAGACTTTGTGCCAAAGCTGCGATGCTCAAAGCGGCAACCAGCGTTGTCGCACGACCATTGGGGGCATCATAAAATTCCCTGGCCCTGGCTGTCGCCCGCAGGGGCTGTCGAAAGGTGGCGGTGGTTCAACTATACGGCAATGTCAATGGCCTTCTCCCACGCAGAGAGGCGATGACGGATCCTTTGGCACGATTCTTGACCACAAAATCTTCCAGTATTCTTCTCTTGGGCGAAGGAAAAACAATTTTCTGACAGCACGAGAAAAATAAAAACAGATTTGTGGAAGCTTACGCCGCTACCCCCTGTAGTGTGCAAGAGAGAGGAGCATGAAGGAGGGGTGGGTACCCTTGACGTGTGTCGAATGCTCCGATTCGTTTATGTTTGCTCTAAATTTCCATTCTCGTCACTCACCGTGATTTATAAATCACTGCCGGTGGTTCCACATTGCTCCCTGGATAAATACCACGCATGTCCATCCGTAGGGTGCAGTCCAGCGGTCCCGTATCTCTCGGGCGGATACCGACAAGAGAGAGGCGCCGCTCGAAGGCCATTGGAGCATTTCCCGCACGTCGCGTTCACTGTGCCGGAGCAAGTCGAGCCGCGCTCGGAGCGCGCAAAATTCCCTTTGCTGGTGGTGGCGCCTCCGGACGCGTGCCCTTCAGTGAGCGCCCGGTTGGGCTAATAGGGAACTGCGGTCAAGAGCGGGAGCGGGAGGTTCACAGCAGCACCTTAGGGCCGCGGCACAACTGCCGATCGGCCCGGTGCTCTCTCCAGGCTGGTACGACGGCTACTGCTGCTACTACCGCAGGAGTTCACAGTAGTAGCAGCAGTACTACTCCAGTAGTAACTGCAATAGTCCACATAGTAGCAGTACTACTCCGGCGGCAGCAGCAGTAGCGGCTTCGCGGTAGCTCGACGAGGCTGGCGCTCTTCCCGGCTCGGCCAGGTGCTTCCGTCGGCGACAAGCCGCCCCGCTACTCCTCGTCGAGGGAGAGCTGCGACGACACGGCGTGCTCCTGCGCCACGGCCGCCAGCTCTTTGAGAAACTCGGCGTAGACGACGGCGCAGTAGACGGCGTTCTTGACGCGCAGCGCCTCGCTCTGCTGCTCGGCGATGTTGCGGAACGGCGACGATGAGGAGAGCGGCGCCGCCGCCCGCTGTCCCAGCCGCACGTGCTGCAGCGCGTGCTGCGCCGCCTGTCGCGCGCGGCTCGGGCTGTTGGCGTGCCGCAGCAGTAGCTCCCCCAGAGAGGGCTTCCGGCTCTTTGCTGCACGGGGGGAGGGGAGGGGAGGGTCTGAGCGTTTCTTATCGTGCACTCTTACGAGTCCAGTCCGTTAGGAATGCGCACTAATCATGCGTAGCAAAGCTCTTGCAAACAACACTGTTTTAAGTATCTTGCAAAACTGGCTCAGCCTCAGGAACGGATGCCGAACGCGAGCCAGTAACTCGATCGAGGTCTGTGTAACTCAATCCTGTGGCAGGTGAACAGGAAGATTAAGACTTATCCAACAAGAATACTTTAATATTTTATGCGGAGACAGAGTAATCCTTGCCAAGCACGAATTTACCGTCCACGAGATTTGAGTATACATGGATGTACTTCTGTATACCTGTTTTAACACGTAGGCTTTCACGACCAATTTATCCATGAGAGGTTTTTGGGTTAGATCGTGTAAATATAAAGGTGTCCGCCCGACACAGCCAATTTGTCATGAAAACAGAATGTCAATCCGTGACTCGTATAGCACACCGGTGTGTTAGAGAATAAATCCACAATTCAGGTACGACGTTTCGCCAGTAATTACAACTAGCATGATCAGGTGACAGCCAGATTTGTGGAGAAATGTATGTACATTGTGCATGCAAATTGTTCTTGTACATCTTGCCTTACTTTGTGTGCACATAAATCACAGTATCTGTTCTTGTCTGCTTACAGATCAGGAGGATTTCTCCACAAATCTGGCTGCCGCCTGGCTCTGTCGCTACCCACTCCTCTCTCTTCTCCACGTTGCTACCTCCGCAATCGTTCACATTCACGCTCCATCCCACAAAATTATTGTATATTTTATTTTGTGATTGGCGTATTACCGTGTGTTGCTTAAATATGACATACTGTACTCGTATCGCGTGCCACTCAGCGTGGTAAATTTAAAAAAATTATCAATTAATTAAAATGATAAGTATGGCCCCTGAGTGTAGTGATGAAAGTGCCTCACTATCATCATCATCATCAAAGGTAAATGTAATTTAATTTGCCATATATTTCATAATTAAACATGTCTTGAATGTTGCTGCCATTCTCTTCAGTCTGTTCGTTGGTTAATTTTTTGTGAAAGTGAAAAATATTGACATGGGATTTAATCGGCTCACTCACGACCTTGGTCCCCCCCTCACCCTATTATCCCCAAAAGGTCCTAAGTTTACCAGCCACGAATTTACCAACCATGAGGGTTTTCAGGAACCTAAAGCTCGTGGTTGGCAAGGGACTACCCCGTGTATCACACGCATATTCCAGGGGGTGTCGAGGGAAGGCCATACCCTGGATTGCCAGAAGGCAGTACAACAAATGTTGACTCCTGCTGTTCCGTTTGTACGGGATCGAGCGTTGCCCCCACAAATGCGTGGGTTTTCTCCAAGCGCTCCGGTTTCCGCCCACATGTAAGCACTCATTAATTGTCCAATGATTTACTTAATACAGAGGACCGCTGGAGCTTGGGCAATTGCTGGCACCGGCTCCTCACCCCACGGCCGCCACTGCTGTTGCAGCTCCTCCACGCGCAGCGTTACAAGCTGAGATTATTATTCATTATTATCGTACGAAGAAGACTTAATATCAGCTGACCTGTGTTTTGTTTGTCTCCACGACGACGCTAGCGATGACTTTAAGCCGACCGAGCCGAGTAACTCCGACGTGGGCTCGGCGCTCCGACGTGGTGGCTGCGGCGTCTCCGCGCCCAACCTCGTTGCCGATCCGTCTCCCCCCTTAAAGCCTCACCACCTCCTCTCTATCAACAATTCCCTTCATCTTCGCTCCCCTCGCCCCTCCACTCCATCCCGTCCCTCCCCTGCAGCCCTTACCGTGACCCCCACGTGCCCTCTGTTACGGTCGCTCATTCCTCGGACCTTGCGCACTGTGCCCTTGCCATCTCAATCACTCCATTTTTGTAACCGCTTTTAAACTCTGTTATAGAGCGCCTTCAGCTAAGACGCTCGACAAACAAAGTAAGATGCGTATCGCTCCACCGAGCCACCTCCTCCCCGCCCGACAGGCGCTGGCGCTCACAGCAGCAGCAGCCTCACCGAGTTGTTCGGCGCGGCTGAGGGCCGGGACAAAGAGCGGGGAGTCGACGGCGCCACTCTGGCCGCGCGTGATCAGGTACTGCCACGCTCGCACCACCATCGGCGGGAAGTCGTCGTAGCCCGCCGCAAACGCTTCGATCCGGTTCTTCACCGTGCCCAGCACCTGCACGCGCACAGCCCCGGCGACAGCGCGCATATATATATATGTGTACCATTGGACCTTTTTGCCAGTATCAAATAGGACAGTACGGGGCCTAGTGGGTGGCGACAAATAATGATTGCAGCGATGAGGACAGACAGGGTCAAGTGAGGTAACTGGGTGAGAAGTCACCGCAGGGGGAAGGGTGGAACCCACGAGGTGTTAGTGATGCAAAGGAAAGCTCCGACAGGAGAAAGTTTTGGAGAAGGGGTGTGGCAGAGGCGAGGTGAGATCAAAAGCAGCGCGGAGTGGGGCTCGAGGCTGCCGTGGGGGAGTCAGAGTCCGGACCGTCAGCGCTGTCATCGCTGTGGATCGCCCTCATCGTCTTGGAAGACGAGCGAGGGGAGTTGTATATTTACACCGTGGCTACTACATCGACGGCTCCTATAGAGTCCGTCAACTATGTGGTGAGCGTCGTGTAGCAGCTACATAGAAGTCACCCAGATGGAAATGAGTCCACCTGCGTCCATCTGATAACCTGCCATCGAGTCGGGCTGACTGCATTGTATAATAAATATATATTTAACTTAAGAAGACAGCGTTTTTAAGTGCTACATTACACAAGTATGAAAAGTAATTGGTTTAACCCTTTGATACTGACAAAAAGGTCGCATGATATAGCCGCTCACCCTGCGCTATAAATGCCCTGATAGTGCATTGTCTCTGTACTGTTTACCTTTAGGCGTTCTCTGGCCTGACACTGGTGAGACGAGGCCAATCAGTTTCAAAGACAATGCATATATCAGAGTTTGTTTGCGTGCTCACCACCAATACATGTAGTTACTGCAGACTTCATTCCTTGTAAAATTGATCTATTTGGTGTTGGAACATCTTAACACCTGTTTTATTGCCAGAAAGGTGAAACATCTATTCTCATTTTCATATATATATGTAGAACTTCTTTCGCACCACCGTACATAGCTAACCGCGCTAATCGGAGGCGCCACAGCGGCGTGCGGCTGCTGCCCTAAATCTTTGTCCGTGTGTTCCTGGCAGGCCCAGGCCGGTGTTCCGGTGGGGTTGACGGGTTCCCCACAAAAGGCTCTTGCGAGGACGAGAGCTACGATCTCACTCTGGCTTACGGTCCGTATTCTCTTAGGGCATTTATGATCGTGCTACAATCGTAAGCAGGTTAACCTAACTCTTACAACTCTCTCCTGACAGCAAGTTTAAGAGAGAGGTAAAGGATTTGAGAAATAATGAAAAGACCTGGGGGCCATCGATGCTGCTGTTAAAGGAAAATAAAACAAGCAGAATTAGGCAGCACGTGTCAAGGGAACATCCGGTGAGAGACGGAACGAACGCTATGGCGGTGGAGACCGAGAGAAGGGAAGAGGAGCGGAGGGGATGGGGTGGGGGAGAATGGGGGAGGCCATTGCCTAGCAGTGGGGAGTTTCACAGGGAACCACAGACTCACTCAGAGAATCACTCAGAGAATCACTCAGAGAATCACTCAGATAATCAATCAGAGACTCACTCAGAGACTCACTCAGAGACTCACTCAGAGACTCACTCAGAGAATCACTCAGAGAATCACTCAGAGAATCACTCAGAGAATCACTCAGAGAATCACTCAGAGAATCACTCAAGAGAATCACTCAAGAGAATCACTCAAGAGAATCACTCAGAGACTCACTCAGAGAATCACTCAGAGACTCACTCAGAGACTCACTCAGAGACTCACTCAGAGAATCACTCAGAGAATCACTCAGGGACTCACCCAGAGACTCAGGGACTCACTCAGGGACTCACTCGGAGACTCACTCAGAGACTCACTCAGGGACTCACTCAGAGAATCACTCAGAGACTCACTCAGAGACTCACTCAGGGACTCACTCAGAGAATCACTCAGAGAATCACTCAGGGACTCACCCAGAGACTCAGGGACTCACTCAGAGACTCACTCGGAGACTCACTCAGAGACTCAGCGACTCGCTCAGAGACTCACTCGGAGACTCACTCAGAGACTCAGAGACTCACTCGGAGACTCACTGCTGTCGGTGCCCTCGCTCACCTGCACCAGGGACTTGACGCTCGGCTGGAAGACCATGTTGGTGTTGAGCAGGAAGGAGCGCACCAGTGGCTGCGGGTAGCAGGCCAGCTGCGTTACGACGCCCGTCAGCAGCAGGTTGACGTACAGCGAATTCTGCATCATGTTCTCCAGCTTGGCAAACAGCGCGCCCACAAAGGGCCCTTGGACAACGGGAGCAACGGAGGACGACGATAGACACCCAAGTGTCAACGACGCCCGTGACGACGAGGGCGTTTTAACGCGAGACTACGGCCTGTAGAATGCTGCCGTGGTGGTAACGGTCAGCACGCTGGACTTGCAATCCAGAGGTCGCCGGGTTGATTCGATCTCACAGCGTGAAAGTTAAAAACTTTATTCAAGTTTCTTAAATCCCCCTGTCTCTATCACCCCAACAGGTACACCAAGGTTAGACGATCGGCAGATCACGTATGGTGGAGTAAAGTGTGAGTATTTCACCTCTACTCAGATGTCTGACCAGCATGGAAGAATCGCCCAAAATACTCTCGAGAGGGGAAGTTTAGCCACGAGTGGAGTTCCTTCCGTGAGCAGTGGCGTGAGCAGGGGATTGCAGGGATGCACCTTTACCTAGTCTACAGTAGGGGTGGCCAAACTCTGGCTCACAAGGAGCACGTGGCTTGACATGGACGCAGCTAATTTTGACTTTCCAATAACAACCTTACGTGCCAGTACAGAGTGGATAGACGACACTCCCGGTACAGACGAGGGAGGCAGCACAAGAGACGTGACCGAAATACCCGGCACGAGGCCGCAGCGACGAGCCCAACCGCACGGAGGAGGGAGACCGCACAACCGAGACGGAGACATTCGCCAGCACGGCGCGACCCCGCAACCCACGCCAGTCCTCACCGGTGAACGGCGTGCCGATGGCTTGACTCGGATGCTGTGCGAGCAGGGCAGGCAGGGTCACCACGTGCGCCTGCGTCGGCGTCTCCACGCCCCGTGGCTCCACCTGCTCCGAAAGTGCCGAGAAGTCGGCGGCGACGCAGTTGGGCGCGATGGCGGCGGCGGTCTCATCCACTCCGATAACCGCATCCCCAGATGATTCCTCGGCGTCAGCGGCACCGGCCATAACGGCGACCAGCGATTGCTTGTGCAGGTCGGCAACGAGGCCGCTGGCGTCATCCGATGAGCCCTCCAGGAACGTCTGGATGAGGCTGTCGACCGACTCGTCGAGAGCGGAGGGCGCTTCCGCCGGCGTGTCGCCCGCCGTCATCCCCGCCGCACCCTCGTGCCGAGCGCAGGAGGAGCCGGCGGGAGCGGGAGCCGGCGCGTCCGACTCCGTCTCCTCCCAGGCAGCGCTCTCCGCCGACGGCTGCGGCTGTCCGCGGGGCGGCGCGATCACCGGCGCCGGCTCGATGGGCTCGGCGCTCCCGTTGGCCACGCTCCCGCCGCCGCCGACTTCGTCGTCGTCGTGCGATTCTCGTCGCTTCTCCCTCCTCTGCTTCTTGGCCATGGGATCGTCGTCAGAAGTTTCCGGGGCCTGCACGACGCCACCCTCCCCGCTCCTCGCCGAGTCGGCGCCGTTCAGACTGGACGGCGCCTCCAACCGCGAGTCGCCCTCCAGGATCGCCGACGTCGGGGCCAGGCCGTTTTGGTCGCCCGCCGGCTTCGGGGGGCGCGGCACGGCAGCGTCGTTCTGAGCGCCCTGCCTCCTCCGCCGCTGCACGCCGCGCTTCTTGGAGTGCGGGAACACGGTGATGCGGTACCGGTCGAGGCAGATGTCCCACTCGGGGCTCTCCGCCGGCGGCTCGAGCTTGCGCTCCAGAGCGAAGTGCTCGGCGTCGAGCGGCAGCGAGGAGAGCGCCTCGCTCGGCGCGATCACCACGCTGCCCGGCGCCGGCGTCTCCCCGTCGTAGGGAGCCGACCACGCGCGGCACGCCAGCGCGCAGCGCCGCACGCCGCAACGCGCGTCGCGCAGGTACTGCAGGTAGCCGGGCTCCGCTTCCGTCCGCTCCTCGAAATTGCCGCTGCCGGGCCGCAGCTGTTGCCGCTGCGGCGACGCGAGCGCTGTTGACGCGGGGGACTGCGGACGCGCCGGCTGTTCGTGAACAGCGGGCGAGCGCTGCTGCTGCTGCTGCCGTTCAAAGATTTCCGACTTCTGCCGCGAGAAAAACCCCATGCGGGCCGGAGTGGTGGGTTTGGGTGCCGGAGACGCCGCGGGCTGGCCCTCCGAGGCGCCGCACACCACCAAGCCTGGGCGGTACGAGACACAGGGGGAAGGATGTCACATCGAGGCCGGGAGTCGATTTAGGTGTGCGCAGCGCAACGTCGCGCATCCAGCCCTCACGAATCTGCCCTGACCAATTAAACGCCTACATCTGCGCACAGCTGTGTAACCGCCATTTGTTACAGATGTTCACACATCCGATCTTTTCACACGCGCAGGGGCACATTCTTGGTTCCGCGTACAATCCCCTCACTTAGAAAGTACAGTCGAATGCATTACCCACGTTTACAGCACCTTGCACAATAGTTTTGTCCGGTTGTCTATTTCCGCTCGGCCGCGTATCCGTCGCAATTGCGTAACCGTCTATGCCTCAATCTCGAGCGAGCCAGATATGCGACAATGGACTACAAAAGAAGGCTCCTCGATTCGGTGAAATCTTCACGCTGTGCGGGTTGCAATCTGATTCCAGGATCGGATCCCTTTCGTCCCGTGCCGCTTGCGTTCATTCTCACTCTTTCAGTCTCGTTTGTACGTCAACATCAGCAAATAGGTCGTGTAAATTGCAAAAACAATTCCTTAGTGCGCAACTCATTATTGGATCTACCATGGCAGTAATATTTAAATCTTGAAACGATAAAACCGTTCCTTGCGATTTACAAACTGGGCAGAGGTAGTCCATCAAAGAGGTGATCATGCCCCGTACCGATTTGCCATATGGGCCCCGTTTTGACCGTTTAGATCAGGGGTGGGGAATGTCCGGCTCGCGGGCCGTACAAGGCCTGCAAAATAATTTGGTCTGGCCCTGCCAAGGCAACCGCAGGCAGGACTCGAAATTCAATAAATCTAGGAGCAAACCTGGAAAAGCAGTTGCGAGTAGCAACATCATCAATACCAGCTAATATCACACGCCTCACCAAAGACAAGCAGTTCCAGCCATCACATTAGGGGCGAGTTAATTAAATGTTTGACCAAATATAACACACAAATTTTAAAGTTGATAATTTTGTATGGCCCGCGAATGATGTTATAAATATCCAAATGGCCCTTGGCAGAAAAAAGGTTCCCCACCCCTGGTTTAGATAAACAGGAGGTATTTTGATTTCCGTTCCCGCGGAGTTCCGCTGAAAGCTTCCCGATTGCTAAGTTATCATTCGAATGGAAAATTGTTCCGCTTCTTTTAGCGGTGACAGCCAAAAACAGTGCTCGCCACATTTAGAAACATGCCCTTGGAGTATTTGGCTGCTATAAATAAGCCACTTCGTTGGGCTATCGTTTGTGGCCAGGTTGCTTCTGAAAGAGAGCTACGTAGCTAAGTGGGCCTTACCTGGTTAAATAAAATATAGTTTAGTTTAAAGAAGGGGAACAGGTCCATTGCAAGTTTAGGGCATCACTCTTTCTGAATACGAGTCACCAGTACACGGCGATGCTACATTGTACATCCCAGGGTATAGGGTCCACGAAGATCATGTCGTCAATTCTGCAAAGTAGCGTCAGTATAATGGCTGTCTATGTTGGTCTAATTGTTGTTATACTTTAATTCCTGACAATTTTTTTGATTGAAATAACAATCATGAAAGTTCATGATTCATATTTAGTTTATTTTTGGTTAAAAAATGTAGCTATATCAAGTTTCTTACGAAATGAAGTTGTCATAACTTAAATCAAGTATCTACAGAGGTTTTTTTGGGTTAGATTGTGTAAATATCAATGTGTTGTTAAATCCGCCACCACCCGACACAACCGATGAGTAAGGTTTGTGACGTACAAGAAACGTGCCAATTAGTTACGAGTTAAGCACACCGGTTGTGTGCTGGAGAGTAAACCCACAACATTTACAATTCGAGTATGACGTTTCGCCAGTAATTATAAATCAAGTAGTCATGACAACTTGATTAGATTGGCTATGCCGTGGTGGAGGGCATCACTGAAAACTGGCATTATATCTACACCATGATCCTGCCCAAAATGAAACAATTATAAGTCATATTGGTTGTGAAGCCTACGTAAAATAATATTAATATTAACATTCTCGATAATAAAGTTACAAAAAATAACCTATTGACCATTAAATCAGTCCCGTGCAAAAGCTCACTGCGGAGTAATCGTGCGGCATGGAGGTGACGTCATCCTTCTCTAACAAATGGTAGGCTAGATGAATAACTATTAAGGTAAATCTTCACATCAAAGCACCAAAACAAGACGGTAAAAGTGTGACATACAATTAGGGGAAACCGACATGGTATTAATCGTCATTAAGCTAGAATTAATAATGTGCGGTGAAATGTTACATCGCTCGAACCCCCTGTACGCCAAGACCGATGCTGCAGCGTGCAGTGTGTAAGGGTGCAACGTGCAGGGTGCAGAGCGCACCTTTGGACCAGAGCACGTGCTCGTCCTCCCGCTCAGCGAGCAGCAGCTGCTCCAGGCGGCAGCACTCGGGCGACAGCGACAGCAGACGGTCGGCCGTGCGCCCGTACAGATCCACCTCCTTGACGGCGCGGCGCTGGCTCAGCATCACGTGGTTGCACGGGATGAGGAACCTGGCGGAGGAGGGGCGGGCGTTGTTGGGGGAGAGGTGGGCACGGAGGTTCGGTAACAGCGACCAACGGTGAATTGTCACGAGTCGAGGTCGTGACCCAACGTGCGGTTAGTTTATTGATTTATCTCAAGGTTTATATATCGCACCTCCGATTGGCGACGTTCGCTGGGTAAGAAGTTCGACATACATACATATATAGCGACCCGCCCTTTGTACAAGTCAATTAATTGTAATTTTCTGGATCATCAAGGCATTTCACGATTAACTGCCTCTACAATTCGATGCAGATTCGATTTGGGGTCACTGTTTTGTCCGTGATAATTTTTTCCTAGGCCTATGACAATTCAGCCCCTCTTAACACGGAGACTCGCCATCGCTTCCTTCCTTTTGCCAGCTCCTGCAACCGTACAGCAGCAGAAAGCGTGCTCTTGAAGAGTCCCCGAACCCCGACCCTTGCCTTCCAGACAGGCGCCAGATGGCGGTGCGAGCGTCGCGGTGAGCAAGGCCGCGCCTCACCTGAGCACCAGCTGCAGCATAACATCCTCACAGTTGAGGCTGAGCAGCGTCCGGAAAAGCGCCAACGACACCATGCACAGCTGTGTGACAAAGAAACGGCACCGTCGCGTCACGCGAGCGTGGTGGGGGGCTCAAAACACAAGCAAAATATACACAGGGGAACGAACAATGGCGCGCACGCACGCATTCTCAAACGCTCTCCTACACACGTTTGGCCATTGAGAGGGTTTTTAAACTGGCGATGATCACATCGACGCTCCAGGCCGCTCGACGAGACGATGTCGTCACATGTAATCATGTCATCTCAAACACCCAGTTAGACGGTTGAGGCGTTGGCACGAACGAAACAGCAACATGGAACTTTACACAAAACTTTAGTTCATATTGGATGAAGATGGACGGAGGAATAAACGGAGAGACGGACGGAGGGACGGATGGATGGACGCGTAAACGCGTAAATGCTTTTATCCTCGGTTATTTAGCAGATGACTAGGCTCGTAGGCTTGGGTGACCGCGAGGCGCCGTGGTGAGTGGAGGGAGGGAGTGGGCCGTGGAGTGACGGGGGCCGTGAGGTGCCGGGGGCCATACCCGCGAGCTGCTGCTGATGCGTGCCACGAGCAAGTCCAGGACGCGCTTGTCATCCTCGGAGTGGAGCAGCACAAAGTGCAGGAAGGTGCGCAGCAGCGACGGCTCCGTGACCATTCGCAGGAAGAGGTCCAGGTAAGCTGTGCTGGCGATCTGCTCCTCCACTAGCGTCTGAGCACCGAAACGCACGCACGCGCGCAAAGACAAAGATCCCCCGTCATGGCAAGTTAGTGAGTAGCACCTATGAAGGCTGGCACGGCACACGACGGGGTGCCGTGCCAAGAGCACACCCGGCCACCTTTGTCTCCCAAACGGCAATGTTTACACAGCGCTCCAGGTACTCATTTGAGATCGTTTACACTGAAAGGCTCACGGTCACGAACAACTTCATCATAGAGCGACATTATTGCGGTGAAGCCGGGAAACAAACGTTCTGTACAACAGTTGACGTGACATTTGTCTATATGAGCCTTTTGTAGTGCAATGCACTTGGGGTCCACTGTTGGTCTTTCAAAGTTTTTATCTGTGCCCAGAACAGCTCCTCATCCTGGTCAAAGACAGAAGCTCCGGCTGACGCAGCGGTAGGGTTGAACGTATGTACGCGCGGTCTATCTCACCTTGTCCAGCGCTGGGCCCATGACTGGGATGAGAAACCCGTGGTAGATGTACTTTATCAGCTGATTCCTCACCACCTCGTGAGCAACCTGCGGGGAGGGGAGCCCGGTGAAGGATGTTCAAAAACAGACGGCGGAAATCTGACAGTTCAATCGCAGGAGCATGACGTCTCAATTACAAACATATTTCAATAAAGCAATCATTCCGTAACCTATGTCAAAGCAATTTCAGTCAGGATTGCACACTGAATAGGGCACAACCGGTACGAAGGCAGAATATTGTTTTTTATATATACAGCTTTTGCCACTAGATGGCAGACGTATCACGTGATCAATGATGAGGATACCCTTGCGCAACCGCACATGAGAATTCTGATATGGGCAACCCATTTAATGATTTGGCCGGTTTTCTTTAGGATCAATCTGCAATAGCAATGAAAGTTTAACAATTGGACCAGGTATACGGGAGTAGTCGCAACTGCCCCCCCAATAATTCCCAATCCAGACAGACCACTTAAAAAATTGTCAAAAAGCATTTAGAATGGATTCTCGTAACAATTCACTGGATCGTTGCGTGAGGGCGCAGAGAATCGGTCCGAGTCCAGCAGCCGGCCGCATTGTGGAGGGCGCACTCACCCACGCTCACGAGCACTCACAAGCCACGCTCACCAAGCACACTCACCAAGCACACTCACCAAGCACACTCACCAAGCAGACTCACCCGCGGTGACCCACACTCGCCGGCGCTCACCTGCACCACGGCGTTGCAGAACTCCAGCGAGTTCATGAACCTGACGAGGGCCGGCACGCCCAACCAGTCCTCCCGGCGCAGCGAGTGCCACTCGTCGGAACTCACTTCAATCTTCCGCGGCAGCGACGAGTACAGCCCGCTCAGCCCCGTCGCCAGCACCTGCAACAAGCGTCGCACCAGCAGGCGGGGTCAGCGCCGGCAGCCGCGTGAATGACCGGCGCGAGCGTCGTGCGTCCCCCCGTGACGCTGCAGCGTCGGTCTCGGCACACAGGAGGGCTGCCTGCCAGGAATCCGTCGCAGCGCTGTGCGATGTAAAATTTCACCGCAACATTATTCATTCTCGCTTAATGACGATTAACACCATATCAGTTTTCCAGAATTGTATTTCACAATTTAACGTCTTGTTTGGGTGAACCCGAGCCTGGGCAGTGGGCATTGGAGCGGTGGAAGAAGACATCGACTCCTCCATTAAAATGGCAGCCGGGAACGTTAGTTGCGTTTTGTTTTCAATAAGCAATGTAGCAACCTGTTTGCGATTGTTTACTCGGACCCTCATTTAAAGTGACGGCTTGCCCCACATCCTGCCTCCCGAAGGTGGGAAATCCCGTACAAGACAGGCCCAGCGCGACATGGCTTGTGATGCCGATGAAATCACCAAGTCCGGCCCATCGCATCCTGTTCAGGGACAGCTGCTGCGTCCGGGGAGAGCGAACTGGCGACCTCAAGAATGAAACTCCAGCATGTATTCCATTACACCACGGCAGAGTCAAAATAAGATTTATGCAGATGGAATGTAATAGGGAAGAAAACAAAAAAAACACAATCCTAAAATGGAAAAAAAAATGTGATGAAAGCGTGTGCACACCAATGGCAGGCTTTGCAGGGCGCGGTAGCGACCGCCCGATGCTGCTGCTGCCCAGTTGCTCAACAACGTGGAATTTATGGAGCGTCATAAACGCCTGTCAGAACTGCCTTGCCTGTTATCCGATATTCCGGATAACATGCAAGGGGTGCAAGGTGCACATTGACACACATTCTCAATGAACCACTCGCCCTTCCTGCATTTCTGACGTCAGTTACCCATTAAGGATTTTACAACGTTCTACACTGCAATGGGTAAAGTTTGCAGGGTCATGCAATGTCAAACAAATCCACAAAAAAAGTGTGTGAAGAGCACACCAAACATTGTGCACTGACTCGGCACCCAGAGGCTAGCGGGGTCTACGGGACGACCAAAAGCCAGAAGCTGGGAGAGCGACCCTTACAAGGTCCGGTGTTGACCTTACAACGACGACAGGATCTCGTCGCCGAGAAAAACGATGCGATAGTGGCCACGGCGACCTCCTGACAATGCCGCAACATTAGGCACCTGGAAGGTTCTGGGATGAGGCTAAGTTTGTGTGCAGCTGTGGAATTCCCCCTCCCTCCACACTGCAGCTGTCTTTCCACCATTTATATTAAGTCATACAATCTGTTCTCTTATAACGCGGTGGGAGTAATTGCGTTCCTGAAGAACACCGCGCTATGGAAAAATCGCGTTAAAATAAAAAATATAGGGGAAAGCACAGTCCGCAATAACATACGAGATGCGTACGCAGGCTGAACAGGGACTGAGGCACGTGGGTTGGCATCTAGAACAGTGGTTCTAAACTGTTACTGCAGCCTGCACTCCTTTGGTTCTCAATCGTAAAAAAAAATGTAAAGTGTTAATAAACACTTAGGTTTGATGACACAAAGTAGTTGTACTTACGTGCCCGTGCTTAATTTGTGTTCCGATGATTTACCTTCTAAAATAATATGGCCACGTCTCGCACCCCCAGATAGGGCATCTCGCACCACCAGGGGGTGCGTGCACCCAGGTTAAGAACCACTGATCTAGAAGCATCCAGCAGCATCCCGCTTTGTGCAACGTTACGCCGAGGCAGCCGTACAACCGCTTATTCCTACCCGCCAAATCTAGTTCTGTTCACTCGATCGCGTTATAAAAAATGTGTTGCCTTATACATTCATTGCGTTATATCCAATTCGCGTAATGAAAACATGCGGCGTTATATCAGAAATCACTATATTTTACAAACCACAAGTTCGCTTCCTGAGAATGCTCCCGGCACGAGCGAAACGTCGGGCATCGTGCCAAACAACGCATGGCAAAAACAAGCAAAATACATCAGAACGCTATTTTTGTATTATTATTCGTGATATCAGATATATTTTGTTCGAAATGAGAACGTTTTGTAAAATTAAGATCGACAATCAAACAATATTTTCCAAAATAAGACGATAGAATTATCTTTACGCGTAAAGATCTGACCAAATGTGTGTCATGAAACCACCCGAAACAGCCAAACAAATTAAATTGCCACGCGGTGTACGAGGGAGTTTTTTTTAAGCGCAAATTTGACCACAACTCTACATTACATTTGGAATAATTTTTCCCAGACATTTGACAGATATCCAAATCAAACATCATGCCTTCATAAACATGAGAATTCCCCGCCAATGTTCCGGTGAGCTGATACAATAACTGGCCCAGTAAAATGCCTCACAAAGTGATAATTTAATTTGTTTGACTGTGTCGGGTTGGTGGTGGAGGATTTCAAGACACATGTTCAGACAGTTAGGTGGCCTTGGGTGGGCATGGGCACTGTAGTCTACATTCCTTAATAGGAGGAATAGCCAAACGACGCTGTCTCCTGAAGCCCTCTCGTTGTGGTCAGCAGCACACTTCGACATTGCCCTCCGGCTCCTGCACAGATCGCTGCCGCCTTCACGCTCAACAAAATATCATCGATGGCCCGACCCGAACACCAATTACGGATTCAGTCATCGCGGACCTCGCGCCGCCGAATCGGCAACCCCGGCAACGCCGGGCTCTCACCGGGCAGAAATCAGAGCGGTCGGCGATGTACTCCCCGAGCGAGCGGTTCTCCGCCGTCAGTGACATGATGAGCAGCAGCGCGTCACGCGCCTGCTGCCCCAGCGAGCCCTCGCGGTGCACGTAGCCCACGAGCAGCGCGAACACCAGCGCGTCGTTACGCGGTGCAAAACCCGCGATGCCGGCAGCGCCGCCGCCCGATGGGGCGAGCAGGGGACGGGTGGTCGTTGAAGACGAGCTCCAGTGTGGCCGGGTCCTTGACGAGCACCGAGCACAGCTGGCTCAGCAGCAGCACCAGGTTGGTCTCCACCTGCAGGCGACAGGGACCACGCTGCTGCTGGAATCTCACCCAGGTTTCCAAGTGAATCGATATCTAGAACAAGGGACCTCGCAGTATGCCGCTACGCGCTTCGATCGTCCAGATGACCAGCGTAAGGCTGCTCCACTCGCCCACTCGCCAATCTCGACACGAACACGGAAACATCACCGAGCAGCACCCCGCCGTACAAGACGAGAACGAGGAGAGGGAGACGCAAAGCTTTCCCGTTGAGTTCCGGCTCCCGCCATCCGCAGCGCCACAGGGGTGGGGTGGAGGGAGGGAACGGCCTCACCTTGGGAGAGCGCGAGTTGGCGCACGCGGCCATCAGCCCCAGCAGCGGGTGAAGGATGGGTTTGTGATGCAGTAGGGGCTGGTGGGACTGCGACACCAGCACCTCGTACATCTTGAGCTGCTCCGCTCTCACCTCCTCGTCCTCCTCGTCAACAGCATCCTGCGCAGCACGAGGTTCACGGAGATTCCCACTTGAGCTCCCCCCGTGCTCCACTGGGGCATTTCAGCCGAGGCCAGCGAAGGGTAAACTCACGGTACGCATGGTTCTGGACTGGGCGTTTGCCGTGCTGAGCCAGAACTAAAGGGCACTACGCTAGATTCACAATACGTCTGAATCTGGCTCGAGGCCAAACGGGGCCAAACATGGGGAGAACGATGCGATCATTGCAGTATGTATGTAAAACTGTTTTTCGTACCGTACGTAACCAACTATGATAATCGGAAGTGCTGTGGAAGGGACAACAAACTAAACACAATAAGCAGTTCTAAAGCGCAGCGTCACCGCGCCCATATACGTGTGTCTCGACTCGTTCACCGAGCGGGACGCCTGTGGCACGGATCGGCTTCTGCGGTGGAGAAATGATCTAGCCCCTCGTGCACGGCCGTGGCACGGCTCCGGTGTGCAGTGGAAGAGAGAGATCATGCAAAGAGACAAATCAACCCGTTTGACCACCTTATAACCATGCCACATGGAAGCACCCAGAAGGTGGATGTTGGCAATATCACAGTCACAACTCACGGTCACAATTTGAGTCAAGAACCAATTATTTATTTGTCCCTTTCGTGCCTTCTTGTTTGCATTAGCATACGATTGTACATTATTTCCATGAATTACAAATAATACAATCTCACACACAGCTCTCCCTTGCAGGCTCGGGCCTTGTGCTGGGATGGGCAACCGCCGTGTATCGTCACAGGAGGTGTGGACAGGTGGCTGCTGCTACTGCTGCTGCTGGGTCACATTGTGGGCAGCAGAGGGGAGTGCTGCAAAATCCGTTGTTGTACCGTACTACGCTCCGATGTCTAAGCTCTCAGTCTACACTAACCCGCTTGGTGAGGTATGGTAAAATAACCCCGATGACCCATGAAAGCCTCTAATATTAATATCGAATCCCGCGTGAACGAATCACTCGAGTTTGATTCGTAAACATGGAAATTGGTTCGCGTGACGCATCCATTTAACAGACGCTTCAAGCACCACGACGTAAATAACAAATATTTTAAAACCTTAATTCTTGGATCAAATAACAACCCAGAATCGTGGTAATTCCCGCAATCAGGCGAGAGCTGTCGCACGTCGACTGCCCAGCGCAGCAAGAACACTCTTCCAGACGCAGCCAAATGTCATGAGGCCCGCAGCTTCGAACGCAGAGCTTGCACAACACAAGCAGCCATAAAACACACAACACACACGCATGTGCGCACACACGCACACGCGCATGCGCACAGCGCGTTCACTTTGCTTTGTGTCGACGGCAAGTTCGCTGGTGTGGAATGACGCCGCTTCGGGACATAGCCCTTGCAAAGCTAAGTCAAATTCAAGGGATGGTGGGAGAGCGGGGGGTGTGGTGGTGGTGGTTTGAAAGACTGGGGGAGGCATGAGCCAGACTTTGGCGGAATGTGCCCAGGTTACATTGTCATGCGAGCGTCAGTGCCCCCCATCACCGTTGGCACTTTTTAAAAACAAATATTTTCTTTAAATGGCAAATGACAGTGTGAGGCAATGAGTATTATTAGCAATAGATAACAACAATAAACTCGACACATTCATCCAGCCTACGTGTTAACTCGACATATTCATTAACACCACTGTGGCCCTTCAAAGGAGAATGTGTACAGTAGGTGACATTTTGGGCAAAGTTCCTTCTTCATAGCAGACGGATGGGCCACTCGCACGACTTGCGATGATCGGGTGCTTTCCAGGCGATTGCGGCCATTGCGATATCTCAGTATAAGCAAAACCAAGTGACCGCTGTGATGACTGCGGAAATGAAAATGTGACACACCGAAAAAAGCGTAAGACAGTGCAGAACTGGCAGACCTGATAGAACGACGCAGACTGCACAGTCAAGACAAACACGGACTGAACTCGGCAAAAACGAGACAACACAGACGAGACAGACTCAATGAGACAGCAAGAGTTGCATTGAATCGCAATACCGAATGGTGACGATTCACCGAGTACCACGGGAAGGGAGCGGGGATGTGGCGTACACGTGCGCACGTGGCCATTCTTACACGCCTAGCAACCGCCCCGTTGGTGCGCGTGGCAGCGTGCCCGGAGCACGAACTAAATTGCGCTCCCGAGGCATGGAGCTGACGAGCGGAGCTCACACCGTGGTGTGCGGACAATGCCTCGCCTCGCTGAGACGCTGCATTATTTAGGGAGTGGCACTTGGAAGCCAAGCGAGACACAAACACCACTGAGCCCCCCCACCCAACCCCACTCACCCCTCGCCTCCCGCCATCTGTCCCTGCAGGTGGCGACACGTTGGTACTCGTGCCATTCTAATTATTATTACTACCACCACCCCTGTTCACCCAGGAGAGCCTCACCGGGTCTCATGACTCTTCTTCGGAAGGACTCTGGCAAGTTTTTTTTTCGCAGGAAAGAGGTGGGGGGGGCGATGATTCGCTATCACAGATTCCAACCGAGTCATTTGCGTTGTCGTTTTTCAAATTCGGACCAAAACGCCAGCGAGCAACGGCCCCACCCCCGGCAGACGACGCAACGGTATCGTTGTCATTGTCGCCGCGATGACCCCCCCCCCACCGCCACACCCAGCGGGGCCCACGGGAGGTCATTCGGAATATCAACGCTTTTATTTTGTCCGCGTACAGATTTTAGGAGCCGGCGACGGAGCCCTCACCTGGCCTCTGACGCCCCCGTGGGCGGTGCGCATGCGCAGGCCCCACGACACCACGCGGCCCAGGACCTCGTCGGAGACGGTGAACTCCAGGATGGGGCCCATGCCGCCCGTCCTCGGAGGCAGCTCTTCTGCCAGCAGGTACAGCATCTGGTCCACGTTGTTCCGCACCAAGTTCTTCTCGTCGGCAGGGGCCGTCGATGATGCGACCCCGTCGCGCCCCCCACCCGCATTCCTCTCGATCACCTTAAGCACCTGTAGCGGTCGGGGAGCCGGTGGGGCATCGTACGGTGCTCAAAACTGTTAACTATTTTTTTTTTGATCAGGTAAGGTATTAACTTATTTTTCAGAAGCAACCTGGCCACAAATGATAGCTCAACGAAGTGGCCTATCGTGTCGAGATTTATAGCAGCCAAATACTCTTAAACGAGTGATGTTGATTCTAAATGTGGAGGGGAAAAACGGAGGACCCTGAGAAAAATCCACGTTACCGAAGGCAGAACATGCAAACTCCAGATATACAGCAGGGTCGGAATTGAACCGACGACCTCCTGTATACCAGGCGAGGTAGTTAACATCTCCTAGCCACTGTGGCGCTTGCTCACGGGGTGCACCGCGTGTTGTTGGGCGCGGTGGAAGCAGGCGAATGTCGGTGCCGAGTGTCTGCTGGAGCCCTGCCCCCCCCCCTGCCCCCCCACTACACCGCAAACAACGACCCTGACTGACCAGGCCGAGGGATGCAGTGGGGTCATAACCGAGGCCTTTAGAAAACGTTCCAGCTACGCAGTTGAGGTGTTTCATTCATTCGCTAAAGAGCAAGCAAATGCATAGATAGCTCTGATGTGACGAATTCAAAGCGAACTCAACTTAAAAGCAGCGATCGCCTGAAAGGCCTCTTCAAAGAGCAGCCCCGCAGTGAGAATGCTGCCGAGAGGGCCCAGCGTGGACGTTTACATGCTCACAGAGATTAAGAACTCCGCTTTAATGACCATAAATACTGCACGTGAAAAGCAACAGACAGCAGCCGTGATTTCCCCCTGTGGAAGAGATCAATGTGAAAGGAAACTCAGAAAGTGCCTGGGAGGCTTATAATGTCAGATCACTGGCGATCCCGGGTTCAAATCCAGGTCTCCATCTGCACGTGATGGAACGGGGTTCTCAAGTGGAGCGCGTTGCTGGTCTGTGGGGGGGAGCGGACTGTGGGGGGAGAAGCAGACTGTGGGGGGGGCGGAATGTGGGGGGGGGAGCGGACTGTGGGGGGGGGGGGGAGCGGAATGTGGGGGGGGGGGAATGGACTGTGGGGGGGGCGGAATGGGGGAGGGGAGCGGACTGTCGTGTGTTGTATTGGTGTGGTCTAGGACCGTTCTTGCAGTCGTTTTGCTGCCTTGCCAAAGATTGGGAATTGAACTAATGCAATTTGATCACATATACTTTATTTAAATTAGTGATTCGCTTACGTTTCCTATACTTTGCATTCCTATCGTGTTTTTGTATTGTTTGTTGTTGTAACGTTCTGACCCACCACTGGACATCCGTGAACGCGAGCTTCATAGCTCATTGGATTTCTCCAGGATAAACAAACATTTTCATTCCCGTCCTGGGGGAACGAGTTTGTAAGCGGCGGCATGCTAACGGCTGCGCCACCGCTCCCCGAACCCGCCCGAACACGACCGCGACGGGGCACGGAGAGAGCGAAGAGCGGCGCGAGGAAGCCACCCACCTGCATCCAGTGGTTCCTGTAGACCATGAGGCACGTCTCGGGGTCCGCGCCGGGGGAGCTGGGGGGCTCCGGCTGAGCGGCGGCCACGGCGGGGGCCACGGGGCCCGCCGCGGGGGCGCCCGCGGCGCCGGCGGCCGCTTCCCGCTCGGCCTTGCGGCCCCCCGGCCCCCCGCGAGCGTTGAAGCGGCTGAGCCAGCTCATGCTGAGCCGCGGTGGGGGGGAGACGGGGGGGGGGGCGGGGGGCTGGGGGGGAGAGCGGCCCCCCCAACCGGTCCAGGTGGACCCTTCCGCCGGCGCCCGCTGCGATCGCTGCTGGGGAGACGGGCGACAAGGACAGACGGTCAACCGGAGCCGGCGAGTTCCGGCTCGCAACAAATGGGGGAGCGAGTTTCTTGAATTGCCCCCCCCCCCCCCCCCCGTGGGCTCTGTCCACTGGGGCAGAGTGAATGGGTGCTCACTGCCGTGGTGAAGTCTCAGTCAGCAGGTGCGGCGGGTACCCCGCCTCTGCCAACACGCCTGCTTGGGTGTGGAAAAGTAGACCAAATACCCTCGAGAGCTCTTTGGTTCTTTAGGTAAAGTCACGTAAAAAATAAAATCAAATAATAATAGAATGCGACGTTTCGGTTGCAAAACAAGCAACCATCATCAGGCAAGAATGAATGATAAAACACAGACACGGGAACAGCATAGGCACACACACATGCAGAGAGAGACACACACAAAGACACGCCAAGCGAGACACACACCAAGACAAACAGAAGAACAACGACTCTGTGCCGAGGCCTTAAATAGAGAGAGGGGGGAGGGGCCGGGGCAAAGAGAGGACTGGGGAGCAGGACAAACGTGGGGACAAGGAGGGAGCAGTGTGGAATTCGGGACCACAGTGGCCGGAGGAGAGACAATGGTTTAGAGCAAGAAAATCGAAAGTTTCAGAAAGCAAACTTAGTAAAATTAAGAAGTGTAATGCAATGCAAAACACAGAGGGTCAGTTAACACACAGTTAACGCATAGCCTGGTTGATGAACGTTCTCCCAAAGATTGATAATTAAATTGTGAGTTGTGAGTAAACCCTCCCCGTAGAGGTGGTTCAAACTAGATTTGAAGCTTTCGTGACTGCATAAATTACTCTTTGGTTCTTTCGGTAAAGTCACGTAGAGAGCTCCCCCCTAGTGGTGTGAGAAGGCGATTGCAGGGCTGCACCTTTACCTTCCCGCGTAAAAACAAACGAGTGGAGGAATTGTCAAAATAATAACCCAACACAGCAGGACCCTCCTGAAGGAGTCTCGAGTGTCAGAGAGGCTTTCCTGTTATAAATATGAACATTAATTGCGTTATCTGCAGTGTAACGTTACGACTGAAAGATGCGCGCACTTATGACCACTGCACTGCCCGACCGGTCAATGTTATCGTTATTCAAAAAACCCCTCATGGAATCCATCGGGGGCAAAGGAAAACACGCAAAATGTGTTTCAATTTAAAAACCGTCAACACATTTCTGGGCAACATTGGCAACCGAGTCTTGGAAGGCAGCTTTGAAAAATAAACCGACACTGGCATCGGACGAGCGACGTGGGGTGTGTGGACCACCACGGGGACCCTCGCTCCACCCCCGGCGGCGATCGGGGGGAGCGCATGGGGCAGGGTGGACGAAGCAGAGATGGTGCCATTGCCTATGGGGGAATTGAGGCAAATATAGCCATGCCTGAAGGAGGCAGCACCGGAAGTAGGATTGCCAAAATCTGCCCTGGACAGCTCTGGGTATCCAGAGTCGCCAAGCGTTCCCCGGTCGTGACTGACCACTTCCGGATGTGGGCGGGGCGGTGTGAAACTGCCTCTCGACTTCACACAGAGACCCACAAGCGCACCAAGGGACCCAAGGGCTACCATTGAGACCCGTCGACTCGCATAATAGAGGCCCACGACACTCGCACAGAGACCCACAAACGCTTATGCGGAGTCCAACAGACTTATCCCAGACATCAAACACCATCAGGACAAGATCCAGTAAGTTAGAATAAAAATACACAAAGTCAAGATCGTTATTCTGGCTTAAAACTAAATGTCGTTCATCTAAATCGCTGCTCAATTTGCGAGTGAAAATTGTTCTTCAACTTACCAGTGAGCCGAGCTAATGATAATTGGGTGGGTTAAACAGTACATATGATCACTTAATTGGTTTGACTGTTTGGTGGTGGAGGGTATTTATGACTTAAATGTTCATCGGCAGCAAAATCCTGCATGTGTCAAATTCCCTGTCTGTGATGAATAGATGGATTGATGTGGGAGAGATGGATGTGGTGTCAAGATTGGCCTCTGGAGGAGGCTCGTGAAGGACGCTGCTGGGCAGTTGGAGTCACCACCTTCGAACCACGACAGTGGGAGGAAGAGCGACGCTCACAAGAATTAACTGAGTGGGACAGATAAAACGCAGCAAGTGGGCACAGAGGGAGCACAGCTGGTGCCAGTCATCTCGGTCAGTCAACCCATGGCACCAGGGTCTGTCGTGGCCTCCTGCCAGCGAGCCTTCGACACTTCATGTGGCCTCAAGGTTGAACACCTAGCCTGGCCAAAGTGCGTGGTGACGTCACTTCCACTTAGTGGCCAAATGGTCATCTTTGTTACTTAGTGAGAAGGCAGTGTAACAAAATCCATTGATGTACTGTACTTCCATGTTGCCACATCTATGCTCCACGCGTTAACCAACTCGCACTTGCGAGGCTGGTGAGGTAGTCACGTACCACCGCCTCCCACTATCCCCCAGGCTGTACATCTACATGTATACAACAAAATGAAAGGCATAGGTTACACCGATTCGGCACGTTATTCGTAATGCTGCTTCACAAGCGAACGCCATATTGTAGAATGATTCTTTAGAGTAGAGAGACGGGCCACAGGGATAGTGACTCGCAGATGGAGAACGCACTATACAGGTGTGGTGAATTCAACCCTTTTAAGTTGGCATATAAACAGTTTTTAAATTGAAACACGAGCTGTTTTTTTTCCATTCACAGATGTCAGGCTCACTGCAGCACTTCATCATGTTAACAAGGTGCAGGCGCAACCCCGCAATTACTTATTCACGTCACTGCTGGTGGAAGGGCCTCCACTGCAGCAAGCTCTGGAAAGCCCCTTGAGAGGGTGTTTGGCCTACTCTTCCATGCTGGCCAGACGTCTTGGAAGAGGCTGGCATTTAAACCACACTTTACCCCACAGCACGTGACCTGTCAATTGACTGTTGTGAACCCACTTACTGTATGCTGCTGCTGGGTGGGCAGAGGCAAGGGCGATATTTTGGAGACTCGCCCCATCGTCTCGACTGCCGCGCCGGGAGATCGAATCTCTGGATTCCAAGTCAAGCGTGCTGACCACTACACCACAGCAGCAGCAGCATCACAACACTTTACGATGCAAAACTCTGCTACTTATAGCAGCAGCCTTACAGTGGATCTTAAGATGCACGCCAAAGGATACTACTGCGTGGTTGTGGGCTGTTTCCTATGTGGCTTGGCATCGTAAACCAGCACTGAATTACACTGCGCCAGGGTGGCGCGGTGGTATCGCTAGGGTGGCGCGGTGATATCACCTGGCCTGGCGCAGCTTCACTAAAACATCTTTACGGAGAAACAAATACTTTTGCAATCCGACCGCACAGAAATCGCAGCTGTCTTTACCGCGAGACGAATGAGAGGCGACTCGCCTTGTGACGCCAACCTCCCACCGAGTGCGCTGTGGGGGCACGTCCACGCTCGCTCTGGCACACCACGACGACCGGGGTCAACGTGGCAAGTGGTACAGCACCTTCCCTGCAGTGCTGCCAAGAGCGGCCCCTTTCTGGCCCAGCTGCTGCCACCGCCGCCTTCGTCTCAACCGTCGCGTGGCGGTGCTGGATGCAAGAAAGGGGGCAGTCAATGGCCCCTTTTCTTTTCAGACTCTCTCTCTCTGCTTCCTCCGTCTCTCTCTCTCTTTCGGAGTGGGGACCCACTGCCAACGTCTGGCAACTCTCTGACTGGCAACTCTCTGACTGGCAACTCTCTGACTGGCAACTCTCTGACTGGCAACTCTCTGACTGGCAACTCTCTGACTGGCAACTCTCTGACTGGCAACTCTCTGACTGGCAACTCTCTGACTGCCATCATGAAGGAAATGGGCAAAAGAGCCACTTGAGAGTAAAAGACGGAGGCGCCGCCTCCAAAACGAGGAGCGGCGACGCTCGTTTTGGTAGCCCACATTTTGGCGCTTGGTTTTTATATTCACAGCAAATGTGTGAACGCAACATCTAGGCACAGAACGTCATCTATTCATCAAGTAAAATGGATTTCTTTCACTCATGATACGTCCGTGAAATTACGCATGAGGAATAAATCAACGTGCATGCAAATTATAAACACATTATATGCTCATGTAATATTTAGGCAAACTGCAGAAACAAACACTGAACATTAAATATACATTAACAAAATCAATAAACAATATAAATATGGTACAAATGAGACAACAATTTCCAATCCTTATATCTTATCACAACGCCCCGAATAGAAACAATTCAAGGCATCGTTACTCGGGGTGATATGTTACATACTTCATCGACATTATCGGAGAGTCTCGCTCACACTCGAGAACCCAGAGAGGACCCAACCACACGCACGAGGGCTCAACACTCACCAAAGCTCTACACCGACACGCTCGCAACCCACTCGCCGTCCTGGTCAACTCCTGGCCACCACCTCGCAGCCCAGATGAATGCGCATGATCCACCACAGCCGTGCCACCCAAGCACTGACAAGGGTGTGTGTGCGGTGTTTGTTTCCGCCATTAGAGCTTCTAAACAAATCAGATTACAATGCACATATCCTGTCCTCTGCACCATTAACAGCTTGATTAACAACTGACTCAAGTATCTCAATTCACAACCCCTCCTCGCCCTCCCCCGCCACCCACATAAACTTTGCAAATGCAAATTTACACGCACACAGACGTCTACAGACAGGGTCTGGAATGCGATGGAAAGTAGTCTTGTTGGATTGGAAACTGAACGGTATACACAATTGTCTAACCGCCCCCTCCCACCCTCCAATCTGTGCCTAAATAAGTTTCCATGCCTACTTAAGCTGGTGGCGAGTGGTGAAATTTCAGGCTGATGACTGTAGTAATATTCCTGGCTGTAGCTGCAATATGCCTGCTGTAATAAGCAGCCGTGCACCAACTTGTCATCGTGGGCGTTGTATGTATGCACTGTCGCTACGAGCGTTAGAGTGTCCCGCGTGGCCATTCAGCCACTTCCAAAGACAGCCGTGCGCTGCAAAGCATTT